AGCAGGGACAGGACTCAGGACTCTGGAATCCTATAGCAATATTAAAATGAACACACCTATGTACTAGATTTACCACATTGTGAAGCTATGAGAGACTTGAAGTATAGGTAAAGATATTTAATTAACGAGTGGTCAAGTGATGTGTCCAATATTAGAACTCAAGTCATATAGTTTGCAAACTAGTGTTCCTCCATTCTGCCCACAGATCTATCAGTCATCCACCATAGCTTTTATACTATCCTCATCTTCTATCTCAAATTGATGGGTCAGACCAAATCCTTCCCTAAGTAAAGCAGTCCCAGAGGGAGGTTCGATTCCAAATCTCTCTGGTCCTATCCTCGTAGTTGATTGGGCCGAGCAAAGGAGGCACCCGCACATAGATTAGCCAGAAAGATGTGCACATGCTTGGGGACACAGTGATGACCAAAGTGGTGAGTGAGAAAGGAGAAGAAGGCAGGAATGTAGAAAACTAGATTGTAGAAAGCCTTTCTCTTCATTTTCTCACTTGGAAAAAATGACAGAAGGCAGTGCACAATGTCATCATCCCACAGGACAAAAATCTGTAGCCCAGTGGAAGGGAACTGCATGCTTTTGCCTCTATTCCAATAAAAAAAAAGTTAATTGTATAAGGGATATCATCCCCAATAACCAGCAATTAGAAGACCCAGCCCTGTCCACTTCTCTTGTCCTGCATTGCATCTCCCCATATNGAGCGGCCGGTCTGTATGTGGGATCCGAACCCTCGGCGGGAGAGCCGCCGCACTCCCAAGCAGCGCACTGTAGCAGTGCGCCACCAGGCCGGCCCCAAAAGTGAATAGCTTCTAATGCTTAAAGAATGGTTGCTAGAATTTGTATTATTTCCCAGCTCCCTGGCTTTCCCTGAAGTGTCCCACCATGGGATTTATTTCAAGGAGTCACTTTATGAATTTCACATGTTTTTTTTCATTACCAATGACAGCTATCACTGGTGTTTAAGGTTCCTAAGAGTACTCTATCGAGCAAAACAGTCAAGTATTTTAGTTTATTTCCTATAAGAAAAACTGTAAAGTCATTTTATCATTAAACTTTGTAATTGTTTATTTATTTTTGTATGTCTGTGTATGAATACATGTCTTTGTACCAACTACATGTCTGTGATTGAAATTGTGTATGGTTTTGTGTACACATCTACAACACTAGACATTCAATAAATAGTTGCAGCTGAGTTGTGATGTATTGCTCAGTGTTCTGTTGCTTATAACAAAACTACCGGAACAGTGATTTATAAGAAAATGAGATTTATTGCTTACCTTCTCAGAGGCTAGGAAGTCCAAAGTCTAGGGAACACATCTGGTGAAGGCCTTCCAGGTGGTGGCTTTACAGCAATGCAGGGGTCTCACATTGCAGAAAATGGTGGAGCAGAGAGAGAGAGATAGTTCCTCAGGAACTCTGGGTCATGCTTCATCTGCCTACTCTGTTAGTCCCATCACTAATAGATCAAAAGTTTGCAGGAGAGGTAACTGGGTAGATTGGAAAAGTATCGGTGACTTTCACTGAGACATAGGAAACATAGAATTTAGAGAAGGAATGGGCCAGGGGAAAGATGCTGATCTATATTTGGACATGCTGAGCTAAAGATTCCCCTGAGACAAACAACAGGCAGGCCCGTAGGCTGTGGAATGTACAGATATTAGAGTCAGAGATTTAGGAGCCATCAGTATAGAAGTAAGAGACAGAACTGTGGAACTGACCAAACTCTCTGATGAATAAAGAAAGAATTGTCATAGTGTATTCTCAGGAATCACCATCCTATAAAAGAATGAATAAGAAAACAGATTAAAAGAAGCAGATTTAAGAAACAAGGGTCATTCAATCAAATTCTGGAGAAAAATATGGGAAGATGAGGAATGAGAAAGTTTTGAGAAAGTTTCTGCCCCTTACTGGGGGCAAGTCCCTGACTACAAAGGATGGTGAAGCATTGTCACTGAAAGGTGAGATGCTTTTGAGAAATTCAGAAGCAAAAGGAAAAATAAAGTTCAATAGCTGATAAGACAGCAGAGTCACATTTTCAGGATAAAAGGAAAAGTCTACAAGAGAGGATGGCACTTCAGAAGTAACACAGCTTAACTTCACAGAGCAGCATCCTGGCATCGATAGATAGTGAAGGAAGAACGCTGCTGATAGAAGTTAAACATGTTTTTAGCAATATCAAGAGACGAGACCTATGGACAGAGAAACGTGAATGTGAAAGGGTGAGTTGCTTCGAGAAACCATAAGCAAAGTCATGGCTTCTTGGGGGAGCAACAGCAGGATTTCTTCAGAGTGACTCTGGAATTGCAATATAGGTGGCTTATAATGATGACAAGGATGTTTGTTGGGGACCAAAAAAGCCTGTAATGTCCCCACCCCATGTTAAAAATTTAAAAAGACTCTGAGGTTAGTGGCATGAGAATAGATGAAGCACAGTCTCAAGACCATATAGCATGATCAATTGGTCTCCAAATAACCTTCTCTTTGCCCACCCACAACCAAATTTACAATACATATAATATCCAAGCAATCTTTTTAATGTAGAACAGGCTTGGGCAGTGAGAGAGGGGCTTTCCAAATGTGCACATGACGTGAGTAGGAGGAATTCCCAGAATAAGCTACTTCCTCTCCTCTCCCCCTTTCTTTTTCCTTCCTGTCTACTGGGTGGTACATTGTGAGCACCAGCTGGAGGAATCTAGATCTGTGGCACTCCTAGCAGCCTCTCAATGGCAGCATAGATGTTTCCGCCTGTGGCCATGAGGGCCTGCAGGTTGGCATCACGATCTGCAAAACCCAGGGCCTTAAGCTGCTCCAGTTCTTGCTGGTAGAGACCTTCAGTGAAGAGGGATGAGGATAGTGAGGATTGGGTAGACTGGGAACAAGCATTGGCCAATGCATGGAGGAGCTGAAGAATGGCCAAGGTGGATTGCACGAGGTCTGCTCTATGATCTCGTCTTCTACCTCTGGTTTCTGGGACTCCTCTGGCTCCACGTGGTCTAGCAGGGTTCCATAAGAAGGGTCTCAACCCAGGAAACTCTCTGGACAGTATCTGTAGGCCTTGTTCTATCTGGATCAATGCCTGCAGTGCTTGTGGGTTGGTAATGATGAGTAGTAGCAGCATATGATGTCTCAGTGGGCTGCCAGTTGCCAGCTGGTGTAGCAGAGCTGGATTCTGCTGTAGAACATGCAAGGCTGTATGCAGAACAGAGGGTGAAGGTCTCAGCTGAATGGTGAGAGTGGTTTTCTCCATGGGCTTCTGGCTGTCCTGGGAGGGAAGATCATGGCCTGAATATAAGTCCAGCAAGCCAGTCCTGCACCCTGAATTGGCCTGGCTTGAGGCCATGCCCCTGACCTGGGCAACTGCTCCTGCACTGACCTCTTGTGCCAATGGCTTGGCAGGTGCACAGGTGATGGGGATTATGGTGGTGGTGTCAGTACTGCTGTGAGCATTGGCTTTTCCTCTGTAAAGCTCTGAATCTGGACAGTGGACTTTGGAGGCAACCAATAGGGCCATAATGGAGAGCATGAGCTGCTGCATATCAGAGCAGACTGGACGCATAGCATTGTCACCACCAGGCACTGCCTTCAAGGCTTCCAGCCTCTGCTTGTCTGCCTGCAGGAGCTCCTGTTGCTGGGCTGGGTTCTGCAAGGTATCCAGAGCCTTAAGAGCTGGCACCCATTTCTGTACTAGCCTTGAGGATTCAGAAACATGACTGGCATTGGCTGGTTTTTCACTTGCCAGGCCTTGAACCAGAGGATCTCCCAAGAACTGCACCATAGACTCGGGCGTAGCCATCAGGAGTTGAGCCAGCTGGCCAAAGAAGTCAGCTAGATCAGGTGAATTCCGAGCTAGTCGGCCCAACCTAGCTAGCATTCCAGCACCCTCAGAGGCTGATGGTGCAGAATGATGGGTACTGTGGCCTGTGGGGCCTGGCAGAGTTCCAGGACTGCCTGACCCTTTCAAATGGGTCCTTACCACCAAGTGGACTATAGTGCCATCAAGGATGCCACACTGGCTCATTATGTCTTGGTCCCGGAGGATCTTCCCGGTGAATATGAGCATTAGTCAGTCAGTGTCACAGTGAAGACATCTGGAGATCAGCTTCTTAAGGTGGTGGATGCTGCTGTTTTCTGCCAGCATAAATTCCTGGCAGTCCTGTGGGGTCTTGACAGACACTCTGATAATGTGTGATGATGGATCCCGACCAGATGTCAGCTGGCTGTCCCCAGCTTCTTCCCTAGTCTGTGCCATATTTCCTTGAGAATAGAATGTAGGGCCACCTGAGGACACTGGGGCACAGACCTGTAGAAGCCTAGATGTGGCACTGTGCACACCCGCAGGGACCAGTAGGTGTCCAGTGATGTCCTCTCACCCACGTCCTGCAGAAGCCACTTCCTAGTCTAGATCTGCAGCTACCTGGTTTCCATAGGGTGACGGCTGCTGATCTCCTGGGCCAGCCTTAGGGGATATGACATCAGTGATGAAGTCACAGTTGAAAGATAGACCTGAATGGGGTAAGGGCAGGGATCTCTACCACCTGCCTGAGGTTGGGCTCTTTTTATGACTGAATTTAAGCAGCAACAGAAAAACGTTAAATGACCCTGTCTAGAAACATGTTTCACACCATCCTGTTCCACTGTTGAAAATCCTACCACCTGAGGTCTTTTCTTTTCTTTCTTTCTGAGGGTACACTCTTTTCTTAAAGGAATTTATTTATTCATTTATTGGCACATTGATTGTACATATTTATGGGGTACAGAGTTATATCTCAGTACATGTATACAATGTGTGATCAAATCAGGA